TGTTTCAGGAAATAATCGAAATAATGTTACTTGTGACATTAAAAGCGTCTGTTTGATAATGATCTTCAGAACTTATGAACCAAACATGTAAAATAAAATTATGGTAATCAAAACGAATTTGTGGAATTTCTTTTTTAAATCTGTTTGGTGAAAAACCTGCAGTTTTGTATGTATTTCTTTTTTTTCTTTTTTTTTGGGGGGGGGAAGAGGGAATGTCTGTTAAGTTTCGGCTTCTTGCCATCTTCAGTGGAATGATTGTTAAGAGTATGAGCTGACACTTTTCAGCTTTTTTTGCTATTCTCAGGAAGTAAAGACAACGTACCATCTACGTATATTTTTATTTAATCCGACAAACCCACCTCTGAAGATAACAAAATGCGTGTGCTCGAAACAAGCGATTCAAGTATATAAGCAATGTCATACAAGATATCGGCCAGGAAAACCCTCCATTGGATGTATTGATTTTGTACAAGCACGTAGATAAGAGGTAAAATAAGTACATGGGTGAGTTGGTTTTTAATTTCCCACAGTTTATAATCCTGATCAACTAATACTGATGTTCAGTCCACAATGTGCATAATGGCGTGTTTTGGGTGATTTTCAGTGGTGGGTTGGGAATAATTATAAGCAAGGCTAAGTAGTAATCCCCTCACCAATGTACTTTACAACTGATGATGGCGAAACGCCATAACATTCTTCCTGTTTTAGTATGTCAGACGCGATTCAGTTTTAGGCGATTTTCATGCAGTTCAGAGAAGATGTGGCCTTTTTTGTTTAATGCAGTACAACCCATCAGTGAAGATGACATATTGCATATGAGACGCGAAACCATCTAGATAAGAATGCAGACCGATGATCGACCAAACAACAAAATCTATTGTGCCTCGGTCTTTTGCGATCATTTTTGATGGTTCGTTAGGGTTGCAAGCATGGTGAGACTAAAACCAACCCCTTAGTACTTCTCTACTTTAAACTTTAGTCCTAGAATAAATATCGATACATTCCATGGAGTGTTTTTGGTTAATTAAAATAGTACGTAGGTGAGTTGGTTTTTAGTTTCTGGTCAACTAATGGTGATGGCCACTCCACTACGTGTATAATGGCGGGTTTTGGGTGATTTTCAGTGATGGGTTGGTAATAACTATAAGCAGGGCTAAGTAGAAATCCCCTCTCCAATGCACTTTACAACTGATGATGGCGAAACGCCATAACACTCTTTCTGTTCCAGTCAATTAGACGCGTTTCAGTTTTGCGCCATTTTCATGCGGTACAGAGAAGCTGTTTTTGTTTGTTTAATCCAGTACAACCCATCACTAATGACGACTAATTGCAAAACCATCTTGATAAGAAAGCAGACCGATAATCGACCAAACAACAAAATCTGTTGTGCCTCGGTCGTTTCCGATCATATTTGATGGTTAGTTAGTGTTAAAAGCACGGTGGTACGTAAAACCAACCCCCAAGTACATCTCTACTTTAAACTTTAGTCCTAGCACAAATATCGATACATGCCGTTGACGGTTTTTAGGTAATTTAAATAAGGTGGTGGGTTGATATTTAATCTAACCCAGCTTATGTCCGAGGACAATTATTGATGATGTCCTCTCTACTACGATAAGGCACATTTGGCTTGTTCTTTCTAGCATATTTACATAGATTATTTCAGACTTCAGAGCTGGTGTGTAATAACGATGAAAATAAGGACAAAAGTGGATTGGTTAATGACCGAAACTCCAAACTATCAATAATTTTATCCCTGATTCTTCCTGTTGTTCTTAACGAATACAAACAACTATCAAGAAACTGCAACTATTTTAAGGGGTTTTTTTAAATTTAAGAAAAAAATGTATTTCCTTTTAGACAATGGGAAACTGAGCCACCCTTTTGAAACGTTTACAAATCCCTGAGATGTCGTAGTTACAGGCTGTAGACCCAAAGAACCCAAATCAAACACTAAACACGTTCCTTTATACAAATCAAATTGGGCTGGCCGATCGCTATCGGATTTGTTTTGCAGATTCATTCGATCTAAAACATATTACGGATAATTATGTCATCTCTGAAAACATATTAGTAGATTTTTCGCAAGACTTTTCCAAAAATTTCCATTGTCTATGTACTTATATCAGTGATTTGAGAGTTCTATTTTCAATAAATATATGTGTTTTTGTCGAAAAATGTAAGAAAATAATTTTCATACTGCTACCTCAAACTATTAATCTTTCAGACATATATTTACTTATTGTCTTTTCATTAATTAAGGTGATCTGAAAAGAACTTCACTGATTATTTTGAATTACCATAAGTCCATGACTTCGTTTCACGAAGGATCAAGTTATTTTCAATATATTGTTCTATTTGAACATTGACAAATTTTCAAACTGTTTGCTTTATTTTAATATATAATTTCATGTTCTGTATCATAATCATCAAAAAGTTACCATTTCGACATTATTTTTGCTGCAAAACGTTCAAGTCCAGAAGCCAGTGAAGGCAACCGGTGCAGACAAAGTGAGATAAATTCCGAATTCATGTTTACAACTGTTGTTACACTCAAGGGGAGGGCGGTGAGGAAAAAGAATAGTTAAAGGAAATGAGAGAGTGAGCCTGGGACAGGGGTAATATAGGGCGAGAAGACGGAGAACGGGGTGGGTATTACTACCGGTCAGGTATTCCAGTAATTTGACTCGGTCGACCTCTACCCGTAATGAATCCTAATGGTAAGAAGGGGTTGAAATCCGACATCAACACTGCACAACATAAAACAGGGGAATTTTGAGATTTTAGAACGCTTTTAAACGCCGGCGTTATCTACGATGTGTTTCCACTGGAGTAAACTTACTCTTTGTCTGATAAGCCTTGATTTTTACTAAAACCTCCCAATTAAATATTACCTTAAGTAATACCAAAATTATCCCATCCACAATGATGTAAAACACACACTTCTTTCATTTCTTCCTTGGGACCCCAACAAAGTTCAGGATGGATTACACTATTTCTTGTTTGCTCGAAAACTATTCTGCTACATTAAATTTGAATAAAACCCGTGATACTCTATACTAAATTGTTTATTCCTTGCTGGTATTACCTTTTGAGTCGCTCAACTAAGTTGAGAACAGAAAGTTCTTGTTCTTAGTTCATAAGTTTATAATCCATTATGGACCGTTTATCCTGTACCGAGATTTACAATTACCATGACCAACCATACAAAAGTTAGTAAAGATCATTCTAGATGTAGGTATTTTTTCAGTTAATTTTTTTTTAATGCTAGTCTGACGAGCCGCACTTTTTCATTTCAACCAAGACCTTACATAAAAAGAATAAAAAATTTAAAAAAGTAATTTGATCAATTAGACCATTAAACATAATGGATGTATGTATTGTGTTTATTAGATTATTACGAAAAGTTTTCTTTTTGTTTTTCAAGTCACACCCATTTCTACACGTTCATATATCTATCTATCTTTTTTTCCTTCTATCTCTCACATAAACTTACTGTAGTAGTTTCTCTCTTCTCACTCTTACAATTTCTCTGTCTGTGTGTCTGTCTGTATGTCTGTCTGTGTCTCTCTCTCTCTCTTGCTTTATGTTTTATTATCTGTCTCTTTTTATCTCTTTATTTATTGGTTTCTTTCTCTTCCGCAAACCTCTGTTAACACTTTCTTCTGTTGCTCTCAATCTTTCTGTTTCTCATTCTCTCTGTTTCTCTTACTCTTTCTCTCTGTTCCTTTACTTTTTGTTTATCATTTTATCTTATTATCTTTATTTTTGTTTATTATGTTCTCACTTTCTTTCTCTTTTCCTCTGTTGATCTCACTCTTTCTGTCTCTCTTTGCCTCTGTTGCTCTCACTCTTTGTTTATGCTTCTTTCTGTTGTTCTCTCTGTTTCTTACTTTCTCTCTTTTGCTCTCACTCTTTGTTTGTCATTCTTTCTGTTGTTCTCACTGTGATTCTCTTTCCCTCTGTTGATCTCACTCTTTCTGTTTCTATTTGCGTCTGTTGCTCTCACTCTTTGTTTCTGTTTATTTCTGTTGTTTTCACTGTGTCTCCCTTTCTCTCTGTTGCTCTCACTCTTTCTATCTTTTCCTCTGTTGATCTCACTCTTTCTGTCTCTCTTTGCCTCTGTTGCTCTCACTCTTTGTTTCTGTTTCTTTCTGTTGTTCTCTCTGTTTCTTTCTTTCCCTCTGTTGCTCTCACTCTTTGTTTGTCTTTCTTTCTGTTCTTCTCACTGTGTCTCCCTTTCACTCTGTTGCTCTCACTCTTTGTTTGTCTTTTTTTCTGTTGTTCTCACTGTGATTCTCTTTCCCTCTGTTGATCACACTCTTTCTGTATCTCTTTGCGTCTGTTGCTCTCACTCTTTGTTTCTGTTTCTTTCTGTTGTTCTCACTGTGCCTCCCTTTCTCTCTGTTGCTCTCACTCTTTCTATCTTTCTCTCTGTTGCTGCCACTCTGTCTTTCTTTTTCTCTTTTGTCCTCACTCTATCTTTATCTCTCTTACTCTATCCATCTATATATGTACCTAAATATCTATCTATATTTATCTACATATCTACATGTTTATCTCTTTTCCCTTGTTATTATTGCACTGTTTTCTTTTATCTCTCCATATTTTATCTATCATTTTTTCTATCATCATCAGTTTATTTATTATTTTCTCTTTTTCACCTTTCTCTCTTCCTCCCTCTCCCCTTTCTTTCTTTCTCTTTCTTTCTCACTCCTTTCCCACACGCAATATTTTATCTGTTTTGAGTTGTAGAGTGTTTTTCCTTTGTATAGTTTGATTTGGATGCATACAGACAATAGATGAAGAGGAAAATTAATTACTCATGTACAATTATAATGTATTCATAGATTTCTTCAATTGACGACACTTTTATAATTGATCTGTATAATAGGCCTATATGAAATATTTATTATTTAATTTTGCCAGGTGAACTTTGTTCTGTATTTTGTTGTACGGAAGAGGATAAAAACTAATATTTTCTTTTCTTGTTTTTCTAGGTGAGTACAGTTCACGGAATGGTTTTAAGTGGGATGGATGTACGTGAGTAAACATTTCACTATTAAAAGTTTAAATAATTTAACCATTATTTCACATGTTTAGTATATATTTAAAAAAAAAACATTAATTAAGGTAAAGCTGGTATTCCATACAACGAGGTTAGTGGCAAAAGGCTTACTTTGAGGTGGATTTAGTTTCGTCGTTATTATAGGGAAAAGGACGACAGTGCATGTACGGTCACAACCATATTAATTTCCATCGCATGTTGTATAAAGGAAAGGACAAATAATGGGGAAACGTTGTTTACCGTTGATAAAAGGGCCCTAATGTAATAGAACGGTGAGGAGGTAAAAGGGTTCGCTGCGGACGCGGAAGGGAAGAAGGTGCAGAGAGAGATAGACGCCCCCCTGAGATAATGAGCCTAGTTAAAGCAACTTCTCAAAGCTCCGGGGGACGGTTGCTCATACAGCAACCCCCAAGCAACTCGAGGAGGAAACGGACCAACACTTGAATTATCAAACATAAATGCAAATGTCGAAGTTGAGGATCCCCCGAGGCTTATCCACACACGCGGCGCCTCTCTTACAACCCCGAGCCGCAAAACAACACCCCTATATTAATCAACCCCCGGGCCAACTGGGCTCGCCAACTTCTTCAGTTTACACCCCAACACGCCTTTTTAAATTTTTTTTACCAGGGTTTTTCTTAACATATGTTGGCCAGGTTTTTAATGTTCCTGCCACCCACACAGACTGAGCTATGTCAGCAACAGATGGGTCTTAGATAATACGGTTTTGCATAAATTTCTAAATTTTTGCTTGAACTTTTTTTTCTTCAAAAGAACCTTTTCAAATATTTGAAGTATTCATGTGGTTTGGATACCTCTGAGAGCCGCAATTATTTTACATTTTACTTTTAATTAATAAAAAACAAATTTACAATAATGTAGGGACTTAGCGGGAAACCATCTGAAAGTAGAAACAATTTCTCTTGATTACTGCTTTCTTCCTTTGGTGACCTTAACCTGTACTTCAATGAAACTTGAAATAAAATTTGTTCTTCTGAATTTAATAAAAACTCCATCAATTTTACGATGTCTTACTGTGATACGTATACTAATCGGTATACATTTCTGCCTTAGTTGTAATTTGTTTACTTACATAATCCTTATGATCTATCGTACGACCATTGATCTCTGATATACATTTCTTTTCATAAATTACATTAGGAAATAAAGAATAACACTGTTATACTTTATTGCGATATAATGTGATTTCACATTCCCGTAACTTTCCAAAAATAGTACTCATCTAGATTACTAGAAAGTATTTGTTTTCTTTGTCACAACAAAATAGTTCTGAGCTTGATATAGCACTATTAAAATAACTTTATTAGTCTATTTGTCTTCTAATTCGTCGACAAGTCGTATATTCGATTATACTCTGAACTGCGCAGAACCAGAAATAGCCGTCGTTTAAAAATAGATGTAATTTAAATCATCCAGATTTATGGACGATTATTTCATCATCGTTGCAAAATATCTCGGAATGATTCGATGTTTGTAAACATTAGCTACGATGCAGTAAAATATTTAGAAAATGTTTACTTTTCAATATATTTTATAGATCTGCGCATGATCAAACGTAAAAAAGAAAGTCTCCTGGGACCCAATGAAATATAAAATAAAGGGGATCGATGCAGTTGAAAGAATATCGTGGTTGCATGGGTTACAAGCCACATAGGGAATAGGGAAAGCCGGGAACGGAAAAGCAAACAGGGCGTTCACGATGTCGCCCGACTCTTCCCAACCTCGACGCCTAGCACATTTAAATTATTATTTTCAAATACAGTGAAATGAGAATCGTAAAATCGCTGGGCTTGTAAAAATAGAAATAACACTGTAGCTAACTGTGGCGAGTTAAGAAAGACGACCAGGACGAAAATGAAAAGGCCAAACTGACAAGAATGCCCATAGATCATACCAAAATAACTTACTTTTTGGCCGGAAAGCAAGCGCGTAGGTTCCCGTTATGCAAAGTTTAAATAACGTTTGAGCACATTTTTAATTGTAGAACGGTAGACTTATGGAGGCAATAAAACGTCATATTAGTCGGACCTGTGCGTAATCTTGTGACACGGTGGCGTGGCGAGCGTAAATCCCTTTTCTGGAACCTCAGGACTCAAGGAATTATGTTTTGTTGTGCCTGTGTTATATTTATATTAACATAATACAATGAATGTAATTTATTAGCGGGAATGAAAGGGGTCCATATCACTCCTCCGAGGAATATGCAGCGCTCTGGGAGAAGTGAATGTAGTCAGACTTCTATGTTGGATTTATGTTAATTTATTGGAATGAATGTAATTTATTAGCGTGAAAGGAAAAGGTCGTTTAACCTGCCTCGAGGATTCTGTACTCTATAAAGTATACCCTATAAGAATTTACTCTAAGATGAGTTGGTGACATCTGGAGAGTAAAAGTAATTAGTGAGTGGGTTCAACACTGTCCCTAAGAATATCGAGTGCTCTAGGGTGAGTGTGTGACGTTTGGAGAGTAAAAGTATTTATTAGCGAATGGAGGGAGGTTCAACTCCTCCCCGATGAATATCGAGTACTCTAGGATGAGTGTGTGACGTCTGGAGAGAAAAAGTAATTTATTAGCGAGCATGGAGTGGGTCAACCCCGCCAGAGAAATATCCAGTACTCTAAGATGAGTGTGTGACGTCTGGAGAGTAAAAGTAATTTATTAGCAAGAATGGAGGGGGGTTCAGCTCTTCCCCGATGAATATCGAGTACTCTACGATGAGTGTGTGACGTCTGAAGAGTAAAAGTAATTTATTAGCGAGCATGGAGTGGGTCAACCCCGCCAGAGAAATATCCAGTACTCCGAGGGAGTGAATGTACCCAGACTTCTATTTTTTTGTGATTAGAAATATGTGTTTTGGCTATTCTGTAGTTGACGACCTGAGGTACAAAAGAAAGGCCAGCATTTTAGGATATCGACATAGTGTACATATTAAAGCAGAGAGTCTTTTAAATGACGGCAGGCTGAAAAATACACATGAAAGGCCAGAAAAAAGAGTAAAACGCGCAGAAGGGCCAATAATGGCCTCATCTGTTTGTTGGCTCCTAAACGTCACATTCTTATTATTTGAGTACTAAGTAAAACATTTATATTGTTTTGCTTCTTTGGAAATGTTGAAAAGCTTGAACTTTTATAATATTTATTGCTTAAATTGAAGAAAGTCGTTTATTCATCGCTTGTTAAAAAATTTCTTCAAAGTTCATTACACGTCCTACCATAATTCTTTAATTATTTACTCTAAGTTTTTGTATATTTTATGATATATGGAAGCTATTTTTTAAATTTTTTGTTAATAACAAATGAATATTGGACGTGTAATGTTTTATAGAAAAGTATGGTTTATTATTATTTGTATAACCCAATCAATGATATAAGGCAAAGAAATGTGTTTACAGATAAAACTAGACAAACCTAAATTTTAGGAGACTTGAACTGAAAGCAATATTATGGATCTAATAAATAAATCGTCCATAAACCGACGACGCTGCGTCGAAAGGCGAAAGAGTGTGGGTTGCCTAACTCCAAAATTGATAACTTATCGGAGGTTATCCGTGGGGGCTATCCGAGAAAGGGAAAGAAATAATGCAATAGGGTCCAGATTAAATCATCTGATTGGATTAGGTCGAATTACTGAGTGATTCCTCGACGTGAACGAAATCGAAATACGATCTCGCATCCGAACGCCTTTGGATTTCTTCAAAACTTTGACCTCCTCCCCGTCCTCTTCACGTGGGACGGGCGAATCCGGAGATTTTGGTTTCACGGATATACCATTAGGAGATTTCGATTATGTCAGATAGAGAAAACCTATATGCTTTTATGTAATGACAGCATGAGAAATATTTGTTTATAACATTAATAATTTATTTTTTAACACAAACTGTAAAACATATTGTTATAACCAAAAAGTACACAAAAATGAAACATTTAACAACAATCATTATATAAAAAACTGGATTATTTGAACAAGTTAAAGCAATATCTTACCTTTGCGAAGCCCATATTTAAAAAAAAACTATTGTACTTATTGTAAGCTTAATAGTTAGATATCGATAGTTTTGATGCTTTATTTATTACTGTGAGTAATCTTTTTGAAGTTTTGTTAGCTTCATTTTAATTCTGTTTTTGGCGTTTTCATTATATGGTTAATTTTTACTAGATATTGTTCCTTTTTAATTTTTTCAGCCTAAGTTCGATTTCTTCCAAAAAAGACATGCCGGAGGACAAATTTGATTTTTTTTTTTAGAGGCATTCGACAGCTTGTCATTTCAGCCCCGAAGCACTAACAAACTCCCGCTTCACACAATCACACCAATAAATACATTCACTCCATACATACATTAATCGCACTCATACTGTTTGGTGGATGGAGTACTCGATATTCCTCCATCTAACTGTTCCCTACAATAAACTAAGCTAATTTGGGGTCAATGGTGTACTTTTATAAAATTTCCGCCATCAGCCCCTCCCCATTCATACGAATAGATACATTCACTCATACAAGACACAGAACACAAAACACATCTACATAACTTCTACATATAATAAAAAATTCCCAATTTCCTTAAAAAGCGGAATAGGTAACTCTCATACTTGCTGCTATGTCCGAGGACCCTTCCTAAATCTGGTGATATACCTACTCGCGCCCTGTAGGAAGCCAAGGCACGACACGCATCGATTATGTGGGATATAATGGGATTATATCGAGCAACCTTTCTATTCATAAGAGACACGTGCGGGGAGATTGGCCCACCAGGAAGTGACCTTGTGTCAACCGTCAATTCTTAGTCTGGCAAGAACTATTCCTTCTTTACGGCTCAGATCCTCAGGAGGCCATCTTTCCAGTGTGCTAGAAAAATATTATTAATCATGAATTGGTTGGGTGTAAAGGATAGAATTTTAACCTGGCAAATAATCGGTCTAAACAGCATTTAAACATGTGAAAGAGAACAT